TTCAGCACTATCCTGCTTTTAAAATATAATTCATACGTGCTGATAAACTGGATTATATTGACAATTGCCACTGACTCATCTTTGACTTCACCTCAGAACTCAACGATTTTGCCAAGCTTTTACATCCCATCTCTATGCATACTGAGATAACATGCAATCCTTGGGAGTTTCATTTAAACTGCTAGACTGACCCCCTAAACAGTATGATGTCATTAGAGGCTCAGACAGTAGTTACTGTAGTCTTAGGTGGGGGAGCTCTTCATTTTACTCAAACTTTTGTTTTTCTCATTTGAAAGTAATACATGCAGACTGAAGAAGAATTTGTGATAATCCATAGGAATAAGAATGAAAATAACTCATTCTGTCCCATCCTCAAGTAACATTATTACTTCGGTCCATTGCTGTAGTGAAGAGATTAAGAACGCAGGCTGTGAAATCACACAACTGGCAGATGCCAGATCTTCCAATTACTAGCTTTGTGACCTGGAGCAAGTAACTGTATCTCTGTGCTTTGGTTTCTAAAAGGGGTGGTGGGGGGAATAATAAGAAAAGATACCTTAATAGGTGATTATGAGAATTAAATAGGTTAATGCCTATAAAGTGCTTAGAACATGTCTTTGGTTAGAAAAATCTATTATTATTTCCTTTTTAATTTACACGTTAAATATATAGAATCTTAATGTGAAATGTTACTGTTTGGTATTTGGGTTTTTTTCACTTAATGTACCTTGGACACTTGTTTCTTTTCTTTTCATGTAATTAAATACCTTTCCATGTCAATTAATATAGAATTTTATTATCACTTTTTATCACTATTTAGCATTCAATTGTATGAATCATTACCAAATTATTTAACCAATCAGAAGAAATCATTGTAAAAGCTCTATTTTTGGTACAGTAACTTCATGAAGGTCAAAATTAGATTATTAAGCCAAAAAGTGAAGGTATCACCTGCTACTAAATCTGTGAGGAAGCTAAAATCAAAAAAGAGGAAGAATGAACAGGAGAAGAGGAAAGAGGAACAAACTGATTTCACACACACATTTACAACAAAAACATTAACATAGAATTCTAATAAATGCGCCTATTTGTTCACCTTTGGAAAGTAACCTTAAAGGCTCTATAAGATCTTTTTAAGTTGATTTTGCTTTTTTAATATATTTTTATATCATTTTTCATTTTTGCACAATGTATGCATTTTCATCTTGGTTATATTCCCCATACAATTGCACCCCCCTTATTTTGACCACAATCTCTCCTCTCCCCGCCCCTCCCCTGTAGTGTGTCTCCAGCCCACAGTTGCTTGTTGATTTTGATTTTTTTCTTTATTATAGTTGTTCTTTTTCGTGGTCCCTTATTTTGGCTGGCTTGCTTATCTTATGAATGCTTTATTCAGATTGTTTCAGGAGGTAAACTATCCACCCATTAACTCTTATTATCAGCAATATATGAAAAATTGCCATAAGACAGAAGATCTTTTGAGAGCTAACTAACTAAAATTTAATAAGAAGAAGACCAAATCAGGGTGATGGCAGATATTTGTGGTTTAAAATACAGAGAACATTTCAGTTCATATTTCTATATAGAATCTTTTTTGTTCAATGGGTTTTTCATATGAAACAGCAAGCAGTTTCTACCCAGATGTTAAATTATTTTTAACCTACATATGTTCCTTTTTTTTTCTTACGTTGTTGTTTATTTTTGTAAATAAGTTGATTTCTCCTATCAGTATGGATTGCAACACAAAATGACGATCTTGCCATTTGTTATTCACTAGCTGGTCCAGTCCTCCAGAACAGAGACATCTTACCCTACAGCAAAGGGCACATTTAGTTATTACACTCCTAAGAATGCAGACAACAGCCACCCATCTCTGGATTGAAATTTTGGAACCACAGTTTTGACCACCTGAGTCTAACAGGATGTTTTTTTATCCAAGCATTTATGAAAACTTGGGTATACATCTGTGGGCAATGCAAAAAATAAAAAAGTGGATAATCCCTGTTCTCAAATACCCTAAGCCAGCATTTCCCAGAATATAGTTCAAAAATACAGTAAATGGGATATTTACAGGTATTAGATGAAAAAAGTAATTCATGACCAAATGAATTCGGTGATCTCTAGGCTAAATAAATTTAACTTCTTCACGTCAGGATTTATCTGAACCTTTCATATGTTGTGACTTCCCAGAGGAAAATCAAACTCCTTTGTATGTGGAATTCTTCTTTCACAGACCATATCTTAGAACAAGTGTTTCCGAGAATGATTTTGGAAATGGCGAACTAAATTATTGATTTCTTGTGGACTAGAGACATGTCTTTATCCATTTTTAACCCCTCCTAATGTCCAAAGCAAAACTTCCTTTAATGAATTCTCAGAGTCTAAATGGTAGATTTGCCATCAAAGATGTCGAGGAAACATAGGTTTAAAAAGTAGCCAATATTGGGGCCTTCCTGCTGTGCAAGGGGTTAAATCTCAGCACTATGAAACTATCTACCCTCCTGGCACAGCAGACATCTCCTGTCTCACCTGCTGCTCCCCTCAGCAGTGTATTTCAGTCAATCCGCCTGCTCTTCTCCTTGCATCTTTGGCCTACACCCCAGCTCTTGTATGCATAAATAAATAAATCTTTTTTTAAAAAGGAGCAAATATTGCAAATTGCCTACAAAGTAAATCTATTATTTATTCTACTATTTATTCTACTGATTTGTATTTCATTTCTGCCTTTGGAGCATTGGCTCATCTTGATGCCACTGGTAAAACAGTAGGCCCCTTGTCACTCGCCCATCCATTCGTCCTTTCCTAATATCTAAAAATTAGGCTTCATAGATGCTAATGCTTAGGCTAAGAAGGAAACTGTGGCTGTGGGATGGTGTCGAAACGGTAACAGAGCCAAGGAGGTTAGCATACCTCACGAGGTGAAAATGTCACAAACAGCCCCCACATTTCTAATCCCAGCAGATTGTATCTCGTATGGGAACATTGGGACATCAGGAAGGAGAATAATCACTACCCAGGAGAAATTGCTTGCCAGACCTGTGGTTTACTCTAGCATAAATCCCTTGCTGGGCATTATCTGTGTGGCTTTTGTGAAGGAAACCATTCTATAGCTTGGGGGAGAAAGGATAAGAGGAAATTGACAAAGGATAAGAGGAAATTCAAAAAGAGTTTCTATGAATTGCACTTTGCTAGAACTCAAGCAGACTTGTCTAGTATTTTTAGTTTGCTTGCTTCTAAATGGCATGAAAGTGCTTCCATTTCACTGGGGGAGGTCCAGCTGGAGTAAAACTCCAATGACTAAGAACTGAAGTTTTACATCTTATCTTTTAATATAGAGAAGAAAAAGGACCGTATCTCGGAGTGGTTTGAAACCAAATTGTTTTTCCTAGTCTGCATGGTGCTTTGATGGACTAGGGGTGGTTTTCTTGATGTCATCCACATGGTTTAAATAAACAGTGTACTAAGGTTAACAAGCTACAATCGTAACAGAACTAGTGGGGGGATTATAGCTGAGCTAATTTGATCAATTACTTTTAGTTCCAAAGGTCTCTAGATGAGACAGAAGCCAGTATACACATTTTGGCAGGTGAAAAATCAGTTTGGTCAATTCGTACCCCGATGGTAATGAACATTCTTTCAGACTTCATTTTTCATCCCTAAGAAAGAAGAATCCCAGTAATACCAGTCACTGCTACTCAAAAACAGCCAAAAAGATAACTATAAATATTTTCAGGAGCCACAGAAACTTGCATTCCATGGGGGTAGACTAAGACTCCTCCATTGTGCCTTTAAATGTTGTGTTTGAGGTTTCCTGTCATTCTTTTCCTATTAAAAGTAATTGGTACTACAGATAACTAAAGTTGTTAGTTACCATATGCTGTATTCTCTTCAAAAGTTAATATTTTCTGATTATAATTATTAATTTTATGAGTCCAGTTCACATGCAATATATGTATGAGTTTTAAACACTTGAGTTTATCAGCTCTATGATATGTTGTGGTATAAATAAAGGCTGTGGGCTTTTCTTAGTATGCAATGAAAAATAAAAGGGTCATAACAAAAGAAAGAGCTATGTAAATACCACAGTAGTGCACTCTGTACAAACACTACCTGGTGGTTACAGGACACAAAGTTGTGTAATTCCTGGATCCTGACATTATTTACCATAGAGGTGGCATATGTACCAAAAACTCTTAACACCAGACAGAGCACATAAGAGGTAGCAGAAGATCAGTAGACAAGTCAAAGACTCACAAGCCTTCATCTGGCGGCAGGAATCATGAAAAAATTCAAGAGCTTTTGTCTGGGAAATTCAGGTCAACATGTAGGTATTTGAGTACAAGGAATAAGTGATAGATAGCATTCTTTGGAATTTGAAATTGGCCATGAGAGTGTAGACCATTGTTGAGTATTTTTGAAAAGATTATATCAGAATCAGAAATTTTACCTGGAATCATCATCCAGAAGCTGTTGTAACTGGGAGAGCCCCAAGTAGGCTGAGCTGCCCACTGAAAAGTGGGCTGAAAGTGAATGAGGGTCTAGTTGGAGTGCGGTGGTGAGAATTGAAATGAGAACATGGAAATTGTGCAAGTGGATCTATAGAACTGGACCACAGGTTGTTTGTCATAAGATTGGAGAATTAAAAAGAGCATCTTAATTGAAGATTAATCTTTAAATCAAAAAGGTGAATAAATGGTGGTGATGACGTTACTGACATGGAAAATAGGGGGCAAACAGGGCTCCTTTGGTAAGGTATATTTGGAATTTGCACATGCCAACCCATATCCAAAAACCCATTCAGCTTACTTGAGTGAAGATATATTGGGAGCCTGGGAGAATGGAGTGTGAGTCCATCTCCTCCAGCAAGAATTTGGGTTCTCATCCAAAAAATACATAATGAACTTCTAATATGTGCCAGGTACTGTGCTGGGCATAGTAACAAAAATTTAAATATGTGAAACAGAGGTCTCAAGGAATTTCATACCTAGTAGTTTCTCATTCACTTTATTTGCAGCAGAACCTAGACCGATGAACTTCACATTTCTGGGCCACTCTATTTATAGCCTGGGGATATTGCAGTGTACATGTTCAACCACTGAGGTGGTGGTGGTAGATTTGCCAGGTGAACATTTTTTAGGCTCATGGGAGTTAGTGGGAAATGCTACTCAGTCACGAGGGCTCATAGAGGCAAGAAATGAGGTGAGAGCCAAAGTGCCAGTCAGAGTGGAGCAGCGCAGATGAAATGTTTGAGGGACGTCTCTGAGGTTAGCCCCGAAGCCAGGGCTTTCCACAAGCACATCACTTTCCAGTAGCGGAGCCAGCAGCAGTCCTGAGGCATCACTGTCCTGTGTTGCAGGAGACAGGGGAGGTACAGAGACTATAGGAGTCTTCTTACCCTGCTGGAGTTCAGTCGTTCAGGGGTTTTTGTGAATGCCAACTGTGCACTCAGTGCTACTTGCCGATGGAACAATGGTGACCTCTTGAAGTTCGCACTGTAGTGAGAGACATGAATGAAATCCTCACTGTATTGTGATAAATACTGCTAAAAAGTGAAAGATATGCCGATTAGTGTCTCTGAAGGACCTTTCCTTTAGATTGGAGGATCAAGAAGGAATGCAGACTGTTTTCAACAAAGTCCTTAATAGGGTGGGAGGTGGAGGACTACTCAGACTTGCTCTTGATATTGACAACTAAAGCATCCAGTTGCAGAATCCTGAAGAAACCAAATATTAAATAGTCCAAAGCCACCAAAGTAGAACCTGGTGCCCTCATTATTGAGAGAACAGAATATTCAGGTTTGGGCACACTATTGCACAGTAGCGAAAATCACTGCCTGCTGTCAAGCCCCATGTGACCGGAGGCAAACTGTTGATTCTCTGTAAACCTGTTTCCTCCTCTGTGAGATAGCAGTAATAGGTACATGGCCCTGTGGTTGTTGTGAAAATTAAAGCTATAATCCACAGAACTCAATGCACAATTTCTAGCACTAACACCCCCCCCCATTAAGTCTTAATTGTCATCCTGATCTTGGATAAGGATTTGTTTGTTGAGCTATAATTCAGATAAGACAAAATCACCATTTTGAAGTATACAATTCTGTGGTTTTAGAATATTCACAAATCTGTGAAACCATAGCAGCTATCTAATTCCAAAATGTTTCCATCACCCCGAAAAAGAAACCTCATACCTACCAGCAGTCACTCTCCATTCCTCTTCTCTCCAGTCTGTGGAAACCACTAATCTAATCTCTGTCTCCATGGATTTGCTTATTCTGGACACTACATAGGAATGGAATCCTGTAATAAGTCTCCTGTTGAGTCTGACTCTTTTCATTTACCATGTTTTCAAGCTTCCTCCCTGTCATTGTAATAGAATTTCTTTGCTTTCTATGCCTAAATAATATTCCATGGAACAGATGCACCATATACCTTTTGTCTGTCTGTTCATCATTAGGTAGACATTTGGGTTGTCTATAACATTTGGCTCTTATGAATAATGCTGCTAAGAGCATTAGAATGTGAGTTTTTATATGGACATAAGTTCCAATTCTCTTGAGTGAGTAGTTAGTAGAATTGCAGAATCAATTGTTAACACTTTGTTTAACTTTTTGGGGAAACTATTTCCCAAAATTGCCACACCATTCTAAATTCTCACCAGCAATGCAAGAGAATTCTAGTTTCTCCACACCCTCATCAACACTTGCTATTGTCTGTCTTGGGGTTTTTTTTTTTTCAGTTCAGCCTCCCAGAATGTGAGGTGGTATCTTGTTGGAATTTTGATTTGCATTTCTCCTATGACTAAGGGTGTTGGATATCTTTTCATGTGCTTTGCTATGTGTATCTTCTCAGGAGAAATATCTGTTCTCATCATGGTTCATTGTTTAGTTATGTGTCCCTTTATTGCTGAATTGGGTAAAGATTTTATGGAATATGTTCACTCCCACAGATCTTGGAAAAAATATGAGCTCTCCAAGAAAGCACAGGTTTTTATTACCTACAAGCTGCTTTAGCAAGGAGAGCAGATGCTTCCAAATCAGTGGGCATGGAAGTTCCTTCTTGGCAGCAAGAGAAGGGCAGACATGATCTCCCTACTCTGTCGCCCCTCCCCTGAACCCTGCCTCTCCTCCTACTTGTTAAAATCTCATTAACAGCCCCCTCTTTGCTGCCCCCGAGCACTCCCTTTCAGTGTCACCTACCATCTGGAGACATTTCTATACAGATTGAGTCCAGAGGGACAAAAAAATAAAATTTACCTATTTCCAGACCTCTTCCAAGCAGAGTCTGGAGGATGGTACAAACACCTTCCTGTCTCTGATCTCATATTTCACTCTGATCCTTGTCATTGCTTTAAGAGATTGATGGGTGTGGGGGGAGAAGAACTGGTAATGGTGAACTGGTGAACTGGTAACGGAAAGTGAGTTCTACCTCTTTAAGTACTTTGTGGCTTAAGGCTAGTTACGATCTGCAGAGTTGGTTTTCTTCCTCTACAAAATAAGGAAAACAACATACACTATGTCTTGCAACAATATGTGAAGAGAAAATGAGCTAATATATGTAAAAGTGCCTGGTAAAATACTACATAAATCAAAATATTATTAACCATGCATGAGAACTCAGCTTTAGATAGCATCACAGGTGTAGTTCAGTCATCTCCAGAAAATTATGTGTTGCTATATAACCCTTCATGGTGAATTCTGCATTATAGTTTATATATGGGAATGTTGATTTTCATTTGGAGTGTGATCTTATTCTGTAAGTTGCTTGCAAAGGGTTTGTTTGAAAATGAACCAACAAGTTAAAATCCCCTACTTTCTATTCATTCACCCATAGGCATAGTAAATAAGAACTCCTAATTTCTCTGGTGAGGTGTTTTATCCCAAAACTAAATTAAATATTCAATATTATGTCCTTTATGTTACTATATAAAAATTAGAATTTTATCTAATTTGTTTGACACACTTACAAGTGCCAAGTAGTATGGTAAACATTACTTCATTGAATCATCATAGCATTCAAATGAGGAAATAACCATTACTCTCCCCATTTTCTCGATGAGAAAATTGAACATTAACAAAAGTCAGAATTACCCCCAGTAAGAAGCAAAGCTGGAATTAAAAATATAGTCTGTCTGGCACCAGATCTCACTCTATCCCCTACTTATGATACACAAGAGAGAATAATAATTTTGAAAGATTGGAGGGTGATTCTTGGGAGTTCATTTGTGTTATTTATTTTTACATTTCACTGAAGGATTACCTTGGACAGACTACATACATAAAAGAAAAGAAACGAAAAGAATTGGAGAATATAATTGATTTTTGGACAAGGTCAGTTGTTTCTCATTTGAGATTTAGTTAAGAAATGGGGAAGAACTTACTAAGAATCAGAATTGCTCAACAAATATATGAATTATTAAAGGGAGTTACAATATTTACCTTTCTGAAGAGCACTAGGCAGGGTAAATCTCATCTCCACAGGCTCTGCTAAATTCAATTAAGAAATGAGAGTCAAAGGAGTGGATAAAACTAATTAAATTATAGGCACCATATGAATAGTACAGCATATGAATGTTTATAGAGGAAAAACTCAAATACTAAAGAGAAAAGAGGAAAAAAATTAAATCTTAGAAGTCAGTGTTACTAGAAGGACAAAAAAGAAATTGAAAGTTGTTTTTTAAAAAAAACTGACATTAGTCAATGATTTTTGCACTTGTATGTGGTATGATTTAAAAATAAATAGATTAATAAACAAACATATGCAAACACATATACCCACTATTAATCAGATGATTTTTAAGATTTATTATTTATTTATTTATTTATACAAGCACTGGGTACAGTCAGAAGCGTGGGAGGGTGAGAGAATTCACCAGAGCCAGAGCGGGGAGCAGAACAGGCAGACCAAAGAAATACCCTGCTGAGGGGAGCAGCGAGTGCAACAGGAGAGGTCTGCACACAATGTGGGACCCTCGCCAGAGGCCAGGGATTGAACCAGCGCTGCAGAGGCTGCGGGCAGCTTTGCAGCCCCGCACTCAACTGCTGCGCCACCAGGGGAGGCCTCTTAATCAGATTATTTTAAAAACACCGCAGATATTTGTTTTGTATAAGGATGTGCATACAAATTAATATACACAGTTTACATGGTTCTCTGACATACAAGTGGGAATTTTGAACAAATAATACAATCAATTCAAACCAAGTTCTGTAGGTGAACTTGACTGTTACACTCACAAAGGTAGCTCCTACCTTTTTTACTCTTTTATAATCTTGATATTGTTCTTTTACATTTATGTTTCATCATCTTGCCAATTACAAACTTGCTGTTTTTAAATCATCTACTTGGCTCAGCCTTTTATAGGAAGGATCTGAATTATACTTTTATAAAGAAGAAAATTAAAATATTTGTCACTTCCAAGTCATCACTTTGAAACAAAACCCAGCTTGTGAGAGCTTTTTAAATTAAAACTTTCGTTCTGTTTCTCATACCTTCTTATGCACCATGCTGTACAGACATAGATTCTCATGTGAAGAATTAGTGTAAAATTGACCTTTTAATGAACTATCTAATTCTTTTTCCAAAGGTTAGACTACCAGTTTGCTCAGTAAGCATTAAAGAGGAATTTTCACAAGTCTTGGCAACTCAATACCTCCTTTGTAGCAAATGTAGTTTCTTATTTCCATTCTCGGTGGAGAATTAAGTTTGAAATTCTGTCTGGAGTATTCTTCCTCAAAGTGTGACATGCTACATTGTTTGATAGATGTCAGGAGCCTATTAAACATAATCACATGGTAATGTATTTACGATGGAAGCAGTTAATCATTCAGGTGATCCCAACAATCCAAATGCCTCAGCGAATTCTGTCAATGCTTCAAATACGGCTTGCCCACATTACTATGCAAAATTGCAGATAATGACTAATCAGCAATGGAAAATGGTTCAAGGGGTAGAAGACATTTCACAGGTTGTTCGCACTGTACTCTAACATGCACTTTGGACACACACACGCCTTGAGGACCTGAATCAGGAATTAATCCATTTAAAAATTTTTTTTAATCACCCTTCTGGATATTTAGCTGGAAAGCAAATTCTGATGCCAAATTTTACATGGACATGAACTTATCATTCCCCAAATACATTTTAGCAAAATAAAATAACATTAATAATGAAAATACAGATTTTAAATCTAGTACTTGGAGGTGATTATTTTTAAAAGTCTAAATTATTTTTTAAGAAAATATATGTTACCTATGTTTTCTCTATAATTTTGTTTGCTCTTTATGGGTTGGGGGGATATGCTATGGTAAAAGTGTTTGTTAGGCCTCCCTGGTGGCGCAAGGGGTTAAGCACTGCACTATGAAGCAATCCACAGCCTCTGCAGCACGAGTTCAATACCACACCTGCCAGATAGAAACCCACATGGTGCAGCAGACCTCTCCTGTCTCGCCTGCTGCTCCCTTCAGCAGTGTATTTTGTCAGTCTGACTGTTCTGTTCCCCGCTCTGTCTCTGGTGAATCCTCACCCTCCACATCTCTGGCCTGTACCCCAGCTCTTGTATGCATAAATAATCTTTTTTTTTTTTTTACAAAGTGTTAACTACATGTTCACATGGGCTCCTAGAATAAGGAAAATTTAACTACTTTTAGTAAATAATATCCTTCTCCAAGAAATGCCTCATAGTTATTATAGTTCTTGGTTTCCAATTTGCACATTGGAAATAAGTGATACTCAAATTCAGAGAACCATTTGGAGCCACTTACAACATTTATAAAAAGAATTTACAGTTAACAAACCAAACTTTGTCATCCACAAACTTTAATCAGAATAAATGAAACAAAAGCCTTGGAAGAGACTGGAAGATATATAGACCTAGAAAACTTGGCTTTCCTGCTCACAATTTTGCTTTGATGCTCCCGAAAGGAGTGGAAAGAGAATTGGACTGGTAGTCAGAGGACCTAGATTCTCATCCTGGCGTCACTGCCTGTCATTAGCCTATCAGTCTTGAGAAAGTCTTTTATCCTTCCTAGCTTTCAGAAAAAAAAAAAAAAAATAGAGACATTAGTACCTGTTTCACTTTCTTCTCTTTGAATGATAGTCCCTACCTGGCGAACAATTCCAAATCCTAATCTAGTCTCCTCTTGCTCTGTTTTCCCACTGGTCTGAAATGAGGCCTGGGTTTGCATTGAGACCACTTCCCTCAGACTAGTGCTTCTCCCGTCTTCCACTAAAAATGAAAATTACTGTAATGCCTATGGGGTTGAGCTTTTTCAGCCTCTCCTTCTGTCTTTGCTATTTCCATCAACTTTCTCCTTTATTCATCATTTCCTCTCAGTCATCAAAGCCTGGCTCTTGGTCACCATCTTGCTGTCCAACTCATCCTCCCTTCATTCTGATGACTTCAACTGGCATATTAGAGAGTCCATTCAACATACTGGTCCCTTCATTCCTTAACTTCTTTATCTTTCGTCTCTTTCTCACTCTCAGGATCACCTTATCATCACCCCTAGCTATTTTTCTACCTCTGCAATCTTTAATTCCTATATCCCACATTCTAAACACAAATTTCCATTCTCATTGTGCCTTTGTTCAACAACTCCCATGAAAATTGCTTTTTGAGGGCCTCCCCAGCGGCACAGCAGGTTGAGCACAGAGCTGTGAAGCTGTCCGCAGCCTCTGCAGCATGCGTTCAATTCCCGGCTGGCCAGGGAGATACCCACATGGCACAGCAGACCTCTCCTGTCCTGTCTGCTGCTCCCTTCAGCAGTGTCTTCGGTCCATCTGCCTGTTCTATTCCCAACTGTGTCTCTGGTGAATCCTCTCACCCTCCCCGTGCCTCTGGCCTGTACCCCAGCTATTGTATAAATAAAAAATAAATCTGTAAAAAAAAAAATGCTTTTTGACTTCACTGGAACCTCCATGGCATGAACGACCCCTACTTCTCCCCATTCCATTAGTTCTGTCTCTTCATTTCCTACTGCATCCAGCTTGGGTTGTGTTCTTTTCACTTCAGTAACTCTTGCACAAACTTTTGCCAACCTCCCCCTATTTTCCTTATACATATTTTGCTAGATTTTACTCTTATATGCAACCAAGGATTCTCTTTCTTCAATCGGCCGCACTGTATTGAAGATGAACATACAACACATGGAAATAACTATGAACTGGTGATCACAAACCTCAAGTGGACCTCAACCATGCAAGGTACCCTATTTCCTAGACCACTTCATCTCGTACTCTCCACAAAAGATATTTCACATTACCTTCCATTCCTCTGCAAAGGATTTTATTGTAGTAACATTGGTTTATAACATTCTATAAGTTTCTGGCATGTAGCATTATAGTTCAATATCCATATATATGTTATGATCACCACTAAAAGTCTAGTTCCTATCCACTAGCATACAGTTCAGCCCCTTTATCCATTTTATCCACTTCTCACCTCTGTTTCTTTCTGGTAATGTCCATTTTGGTGTCATAATCTATGAGCTTCCTTTTGTTCTGTCTTACTAAGCATCACTTCTTGAAAGAATCCTTTCTGAACCAGACTGATAATCATCACATTCTGAATTACATTTATTCATGTGATCACAAGACTAATGCCTGCCTGTCTTTTCCACTATAAGTTGCATGAAAGAAAAGGCCATGTCTGATTTGATAAGCATTGTGTCCCCAGTTCCTGGAGCATATAGCCACTCAATAAAATAAGTTGAATATGTGATCGTAATTATAAGACGACTTAATAATGCTGTGGCATATTATACCTGATGGTCCTCAATGATTAGAATAAACCCAAATCGCTCTGTAGACTTCGGTAAGGTCTACATGTTCATTCCTAAAAAGAGACAATTTTTAGAAAGTAGATTGATATCTACATAGAGATCACATCCGTAACAACAGGTTAATGTCACAGAATAAGGGGTGGTCTTTAGGTACGTACAGGAGGTAGGAGAGAGAATCAATATTTGTATACTCTCTCTCTGATCTCCCACTCTAATACTGCTGAGTTACTGTCCTAAGAGAAAAGTTGTGTCCAGGTCAGGCCTCAAAGCTTGACTGTCACTGGCTGTGTATTTCATCAAGGCTGCTCTCCCTGGGCCAAGTACTGAGGACTTTGAGTCATGAAAAGATTAGAACATCACTCTTGCATCTTTCCCATTTCACCCTGAGAATGCGTTTGTTTTTTTTTTTTTTCTTTTAATGCAGCAGAGAGATCACAAGAGATCTGAGAAAACAAAAAATGTGGAGGGCTGGATGATGTAGATTGCCTAAACTTAGGCAAATCACCAAATTTTACCAATTACTTATTTCGACATATGAACATGTTTCAGATATTCAAAAGTAGAAATCAATATTTCAAAGTCTAAACCACAGTTTATACTCTACCTGCTCAGAAGCTGCAGTACCTGCTTGCCATTATAAAAATAATTAAATCATATGGATTTAGATAGAAACTAAATGTGCCAGGGGACCACGAACCTGAAGAAAG